GATAGAATGATGAAGAGATGGAACATTGTTTTATAACAGGAAGAGAGTTTCAAGTTTGGATTCAAAATACCGATTGGGGGGAAAAAAAGATCTTTGTTTTTTTATTATGATTTGATCTGAACTTTCAAACCCCAAAATATTTTTATCCAGATTACTATTATCTTTATCCCATGCTTGACCATTAACCTTTATCAGGAATTGGGAGAAAAAGATAGTATATTTCATCACACAATGGCCATTCTCACCAAATATCTTTACCTAGACTAGAGGTTCAAAAACTATGCCCATCCAGTCAAATCCTGCTTGCTGACTGTTTTTGTACATAAAGTTTTATTGGAACATAGCCACACCCAATTTTAATGAATGTCTATGGCTACTCTCATATTACAATTGTATAGTTGAGCAGCTGCAGCTGAGATCTTATAGCTCAGAAAGTCTGAATATTTGCTCTCTGGCCCTTTCCAGAATGAGTTTGCTAGTCTTTGATCTAAACTTTTAAAAATCAAGAAACAAATGGTTTTTTATTAAGAAATATTTCCCACATTGGTTGAACTCCTCCAAAATTAACTTTAACATTTCACATGAAAATGCCAAAAAAAAGTATGGTGCGATGGTGCACTGCTTTCTGTGTTTCAAGAGATGGTTACAATGGCTAGAACAGACTGTAATTCAGGGCACCAATAAATTAAAATCCAACATCTCCAATAGAACAATGCTCTATCATCAGCTCGGCCTCTCAAAGAGCTCATGAGATGGTTGAGGAGAAAGCTGGTGGGAATGTTGAGTCTCCCTACATAATTTCTTCATAGGTTTAATTTCAGAAGACCATCAGATGATCTGAAACTCTCATGAGCTCTCAGATTCTACACAGGCCATCTCTATAATCAACCTTGTTAATTTTACCTGCCTTAAAACAAGGTGGTATGTTCAAAGAATCTTCATGAGTCACATTACCCCAAAAGACCAGAGCTTCAAGAGTTTCCTAGGAAATTCTACATGCAGTATCCCGATCTTGAATATGAGTAATCCAGTATGCACTATTAAAAGGCCAAGCTAGTCCATCTACTTTAACTTTGTATGGTCATGAATAGCTTTTTATTTTTTTAATTTACTTATTTACTTTTAATCCTCACCCAACAGTATGTTTATTGACTTTTTAGAGAGGGAGAGGGAGAGAGGGAGGGAGAGAGAGAGAGAGAGAGAGAGAGAACATTGATGTGAGAAATATTGATCAGTTGCTTCCTATACTCATACTAACTGGGAAACTAACCCACAACCTAGGTATGTGCCTTGACCAGGAATCAAACCCACAACCTTTAGGTGTATGAGACGATTTAACTTAGCCACCCAGTCAGGGTGGTCATGAATAGTTTTTTAAAAGCAACACTAATAAATGTACAATGGAAAGAAAGCTCAGTGAACACAGTTTGGGGACACTCCCTCCTACCCTATTTCTTCTCTTACCAACAAAAGAAGAGAATTGGGAACAGAAAATATTGTTTCTTTTTAGTTTTTCTCTTTTCAATAGAAAATGTCTCTAAACTCCTTTGATATTCTGTAGCTGATTTTAAGGCCAAAGCCATACACTGAGATCCACTTAGCCCAGCAGAGTGTCCTAATTATAGAAGATACAATTTTGGAAATCTCTTAGAATCTTTGTGCAGTTCTCTAAACATGCCCTAAGGCCAATTATGAGTAGGTATAAGGTATTTTTAAGAAAATTGTCAATATACGTGGCCCAACTTCAACCCCAATTCTTTGAATTTAGTAACTGTTTGTCATGCCAACATTTCATTCAAGATTGAAGAACCTTATTTGGGAGCTTGCTGAGTTGGTGTATGGATAAAGACAGGTCTTTACTGATTAATGATTTTTTTCTGAAACTTTTGGTTGTGTCTTATCTTAAGTGACCTTCTTTCTCCCACATAAGTCTACTCTTCTTCTCAATTGCAAGATGTTTTAGCTTTCGTATTTCAGGCTGACTTAAGAAGTATAAACATTCTCCTGGGCTAAGAAACAAGTGGTCAAGGTAAAGTTGGGTGAACAGGCCTTGATAGTGATTGGCAAGTCGGCAATGATGAATTATAGCAGGACACAGGGAAGAGTCTTGAACCAGGGGTTCCAGGATTTGGCTTTGGCTTGGCATCTAGTCAGCTCTTTCAAATTTAAAAAGCCAGATTAAAACATACACACACACACACACACACACACACACACACACACACACGCAAGCATGCACGCACACACAAACCAAAACAAAACAAAAAACAACAAAATCAACAAACCAACAAAACAAACAAACAAACAAACAATAAAAACACCAATTTAAAAGAAGCCACATGTTCACTTTGGACTTCATATGTAAAATGTGATGACTGGGCAGGAAGGTTCATAAAGGTTTTCCACATTAGCAGTTCTTGGTGTTTGCTTTCCATTGATCACACTGGGAGAGATTTTAAAATCCCCACGCCCTGCCTAACCTGGACTAATGAAATCAGAATGTCTGATGGTAAAATCTAGGCACCAGTGTTTCAAATCTCTTCAGGGGGTTCAAATTGGCAGCCAGCATTGAGAATCATTGCTGTGTAGACCTTAAAGTCTGAATTTTATGCACCAAATGTCTATCCTTAAAAAATGGTAACTGAAGATGATGGGGAGTGATTCCTTCCAATGACTAAATGTGGAATAATAAAGAAGCAAATAATTTAAAGCATATATCCTAATCTTGGGCTTAATTTTTTTTTTCTCTGTAGAAGCAAAAGTTTTAGAAATTGATTATGTTATATCCATGGTTGGTTTCTGGTTCTTTTTCTCATCCATCATTCTGAAAAGTCATTTTTGGTTCAGACAAGAGTCACCTGGACATTGAACTCATAAGATATATTATCATCTCTGTTTGAAGATTTCTTCAATGTTCCTACCCCTTCTCTTGCTAATGAGGTTCTCTGTTGCCTTAATGGTAATCTCTTGATGTCCCCAATGTCTAGAACAATGTGACAGTCTTCTGAGATCTTTATACCCCAAGTATTTACAAACTGCCTTAATTATTTTAACAAGTCCCAATTCCCTACTTCTGGGATGATAATTTTTCTCAGGGTCAGGCTTTCTAGGAATAGTTGAATCAAAAAATAAAATATTTGGTTAGATCATGCCACATCAAAATCAAATGCTAATAATTTAAAAAATGTAATAAATCTAGGGGAAGTCATATTTATATCTCCAAGCAAGAAGGCAAATGCTATTGTACACTCAATGTTCAGATATTTTCCATTTGAAATGCATATCTGGATCTGGGTACCTTTCTCTTTAATGTGCTTTGACCCTTGATATTGTTCCCTTCAAGTTGATCCCACCAGAATGTAAATTCAGTGTGATCAGAGAGCTTGTTCATTTTTGACTCACCAATGAATAACACAGCACTTGGCTCATTGTAGGGGCTCAATAAATATGTTGAAAATGAAGGATTGTGTGAGATATGTATCATAAAGTTAAGCAGAATCTCTCCAATACTATAAATTTTGATATATAAGCATTCATAGTACTCTACTGAATCTTTTTAGACTTCACCTATATTTATTTTTAAAATTGACTAAAATCAACCTAAATGAGCCCATAACCAGACAAGCTAGAAAAATGTACTCTAACTCTTCACTTGATAAAGACTCTAGGAAACCCCAAAGCCTGGCAAAGATGACACCCCACTTCTACCATAACAGAAAGCCATGCAAAGGCGTAGGACTTCAAAACTTAGGAGCATTTGTCCTTGAAAATGAAATTATACCAGAACCCACCACTGAACCCCCAGACCAGAGCAATACCATGACATCTGTGCTTTATTTGTTTGTTTGCAATGAGGGCCCCTACATATGGCTGTGCAGGTTATGGACCTCACCCTGCTACTTCAGGTGTGCTCAGTAGGTGAGAAGCACCAGCATGGCCTGGGAGCTTGTTAGAAACGCTCACCCTACACCTCCTGAATCAGAATCCATTTGGTTTATAAGTTCATTAAAGCTTGATAAGCCCTCTGCCATACAATAGATCTAGAATCATAAGCCTTTGGATTTTGCAAGGATTATTCTGGCAGTACTGATGTTCGCAGCTACACGTAAGGAATGGCACCTTTTGTGAACACTGACCACTTTGGTGGCAGCTCCTGATTTGTTAGGTTGTTTTATTTGCCTGTCTTGAAGGTATGAAATAAAATACTTGTAAGTTTTTTAAAAATTATGTTGTAGTTGTTTTGTAGTAGGAAGGCCCTACAAATGAACTCATCTACTGTACTGTGGGAAGCAGACTCTACTAAAGCTATCTTTCATTTGTTAAATATCAGGTTAAAGCACACGAAAGTATGACCAAACTAGTCTGAAAACTCTTAGACACAAAATATGCTCTAACATAGATCCTGGGGTCCACAAAGACCCTACAGAAAAGTACAACAGACAGAAACTCATGTCAATATCTTTTTGCCAACAGACTGTACTAGGCATTATTAACTTTGGGAGAAGGCAAAAGTTGGATATGTCTTTTCAGCTCTTTCTGAGTGAATCAAATATAAACTGATACTTTCCCCAAAAAACATCTTAAAATAAAGAATCTGAAAGAAAAATCTTACTCTCTGAACAGCTTTGGACTTAAAGATACTCCTTTACTTCTTGCACATAGTAGATGAACATTCACACACACACACACACACACACACACACACACACACACACACTCCTACAAGATATCTGAAGATGATCCCATGGTGCTCCATTTTATTGTGGGTAAGAGCTTTGGGGTTTAGAATTGGGGGTCATGTAAGTGTCCACTGAAGCTGGCTTTTGCCAAGTTCCTTAATATCATCACCAAGTCTTGATCACACTAGCTCTGCAATTAAGGAATGCGTTGGCAGAAACTATCTATCTCTAGAAGAATTCTAACCCATTGGATGGTCCCTCTTGTGGGGAGAGGGAGAGAATGGGGGACAATAGAGGTTTCCATAGCTACCCCTGACTTACACAGCATCCAGCTTTGTCCCATTGAAAGCATGTCCTTGGATTGAAGTAAAGCCATTGTTGTATAGTTTTCTGCAAACAACAGAGCAAGGAGAAATCAGTGACCTATAGGAGGTGATGTTGGCCCTTTTCTGAGGTTGGGCTTCACTACTTCATTCAGTATCAGAAATGTGCATGAAGGTTCTTGGGTCCCGCATCTGAGCCCAGAATAATATTTCTCAGTTTGAATTTCCATTCTCCAGACTTTGCTTCTAGTAACTTGACACTGTTTCTCAGAAGTAGGTTCACTTTGAGGAACAAAGATCTGCCATCATTTAAAACTTAAAAAAATAATGTACATATATTTAAAAAACAAGGGTTTCAGTTAACCCAAAGTCAATAATGGAGGATGGCTCAGTGGATGAGCATCGACCTATGAGCCAAGAGGTTACTGGTTCAATTTCATTTGTAAAGATGTGAGAATTATACACTTGAAGATACTTGAATACAAAATATTATAAGGCCTCCAGGCAAAATGTGGCCCACTGCCTATTCTTTAAATAAAACTTTATTGGAACATAGCCATACTCATTAGTGTGTATAGTGGGCCCTAAAATGGCAGAGCAATTGCTACTAAGGCCATGTGATTTGTAAAACATAAATGGCCCTTTATAGATAAAGTATGCAGGCTATAAGGAAATATTGTTGTCTTGTCACCTAGACTATTTTGTCATCTATAGAGTCCCATACCACAGGACCATACTCTACTTACTTATGTGAAACCCTTGGTAGACCATTGAACACTTGCTATAAGGTAGTATGGTTCTTAGATGGGCTGTGAAACTATGACGATTTTCATATCAAAATTCAGTTGTTGGCATTTGTAGAATGGAGAAGTTATACCACTACTCACAGCGTCAAGGTTTCATTGCACAGTCCCTGGAAAGCATTGGCAGGGATGGAAGTCATGTAGGGGTTGTCTGTAATTTCCCTGCAAGAGAGGGACAAAAACAATGCTTTTATTTTTATTTTTGTGAGGCTGGGCTCTTGCTGCACACTGCATTTAAATAAATAGCAGGACACAAGTTCATTTAATCTGGTTTCTTTTTAAGTTTCATTGACTTAGTTGCTTGCTGGTGGCTCTTAGGTTAAGCGAGGCGATGAGAACAATCCCAGATGGACATGCACTTAGAGCCCCAAATGTATAGTCAGTGAGTGAGCTTTGGATTTGGCTGAGGCCCCTGACTTAATCCTTATCTGCCAGGGGAGCTAGTGGATCTCAGAGACTTCTTGTGTGTGTATGACAAATACTTTGTCCATAGCAAGTAGGGTGTTTTAAGTATATGGAACACCTAAAAAGAGTTGGAGGAATGGAATAAATGGATTTCATTTCATGAATATTTCTAGTGTTCTCCACTTGGAAAACACTGCCAGGCAGTTGCCCCAGGAGAACATTTCTATGCCAAACTTGTGGCTGGAAGACTGCCTGTATTTTGAACTGAGCTCTTACGCTGCGAAGGAGTGTAGTCAATTTTTTTTCTAGCAAAATCCCAACAGTTTGGATCCCTTCACTCAACATTTTGCTGATTGTGATGCATACTCAACCTGTAACTCTCTCTGCATACATCTTTTCACTTCTGTACACCTTGACTGTGTGTAACAGGTTTTAGTCAAGAGCACATGGCCAACAAGAAGTCACAGAAAGCAGTATAAGCATCTCTAGTGACTACTCCTTGGGACTCTGCTCAGACAAAATCACTTAGGTTTTCTATTCCTCAGTTTCCTCATTTGTAGAGTGGAATCATTATAACTTTTTTTATGACTTAATGAAATAGTGGAGAGGAACAACCTTAATAATGAATTAGGAAGTGTTTAAAAGTATTAAAAAACTAGGTGAAAAATAAAGTATCATCATCATCATCATCAAAATTTTCTCCTATTTAATTATTGCTACCATCAAACAAATATGCCATAATCTCTCCCATTAAAAGAGAGACACAACAAACCTTTTCTTCCAATATCCACCAACTACTGAAACATTTTCTGCTCTGTTTTAATAGTAAAGCTTCTCAAAAGAGTTTGTTATAATCACTTTTTCTAATCCTCCTTCTTGCTCACTCTAACCACTCTCCATCACTGGAGCTGTCCAGATCATGATCACCAATACCCTATATTATTAAACCCAATGGCCATTCCTAATCTATCATCTATCAGTACACCTGTCATCTATCAGCACACCTGTCACAGCTGATCACTGCTTCTTTCTCAAAACAATTGCTCTTCTTGGCTTTGACCAACACTAATGGTTCTTCCATTCCTTGTAAGGAACAAATAAAATATTGCCCAACATTGCATGTGTGCATACTTACAGTATAAAGAATACATCCATGGAATAAACTTTGGTCAGGTCAGGGAATATTTTAAGTCCAGTGTTGAAAATGCCACTGAAGTAATGAAAAAGAAGAAGAAAAAAACACACAGAAATTAGCAAAGGGAATTAATATATAGGAAATAGAATAATGTAAAAGCTTAAAGCATGGGTTCTGAGGTCAGGTGGGAGTCAAATCCTCCACTAAATAGCTGAGTGGCCATGGGCAAGTTCTGATCCTTGGATGAAATGATGTTCCCTTCAGTGCAATAACCTAATCTTGTTCACCAGTGTCAAAACATGTTTTCTTTTTAGAAAAATCTTGGTATTATTTGAACCAAGAAAGATTTCTAGGAAAAGAAATTCAGGTCTTCCCTTTCTCTCTCTCCCTCTCTCTCTCTCTCTCTCTCTCTCTCTCTCTCTCTTTTCCTTATTTTAATTGGAGCACATTGCAGATGTGCCTGTGTGTGTGTCTGGGGGATAAAATAAATGGAGGATGGGAAAGGAAGACAATACAATTACCCGACCCCAATCCAAGCTTCCTCTTTTCAAATCTACATTATACATATTGTGTTCATTATTTTGCCAAGAATGCTTTTCCAGAGGCAGTCACTGGGGGCACCATGACAGCAGTACCATTTAACAGGTGTGTCCAGCCAAGGAAGGAAAGCAATCAAACACATCTTCACTTTCCATAGTTTGTATCATCAGGGCAAAATGCCAAAATGAAAAGATGTGCATAAACAGCATGAATACAAACACTCTCAGGTTCTGATGCCTCCCAGATTTAGTTGGTTAACATCTGTTGCAGCTACTAGAATGCAGGTAGTAGAAACAGATGGGGTGAGATCTACACACTATCACTGAACCTTTACAGAAAGTCTTCCAGTAGAAAACTTTCACTGGTGTGTCTTCTCAGGCAAATTCTGACCAGCAATGGTTCTCAACCTTTCTAATGCTGTGACCCTTTAATACAGTTTCTCATGTTGTGGTCTTAGGCTCTACAGCAGTGGTTCTCAACCTGTGGGTCATGACCCACAAGTTAAGAACCACTAGCAGGGTCACCTAAGACCATCAGAAAGCATAGACATTACATTATGATTCATAACAGTGGCAAAATTACAGTTATGAAGTAGCAACAAAAATAATTTTATGGTTGGGGGTCACCACAACATGAGGAACTGTATTAAAGGGTTGCAGCATTAGAAAGGTTAAGAACCACTGCTCTAGAAGGAAGACATAGGATGTGAAGACAAAGTAGGAGCCAGAGGTCTCAAATGGGACTTTGAACAAATAACAAAGGAGAGACATGCGGTTCCATGCGGTATAACTGAAGCACAGGAAACAAGCTAGTTCAGTTGCAATAGCAGTTCACGTGGAAGAGCAGGGGGGAAAGGCAGGGAAAAGGGCTGAAATATCAGATTAGGGACTTGGAGCAGGACCCTGTCTTTTCTTCAAAACCCTAGACACGTCCATCTCCTTTTTGATCTCTTCTCTAAGGGTCTGTACCCCCTAATGATGTATGTTCCTCTCATTTTTCACTTACCATTATTCTCCTCTTTGGGAGGAACTTTTCAATGTCATATATAGTATATTCCACAACTAGAACGTAAGCTTTTTGAAGGCAGGGACAATGCTTTACTATCCTCTGTGTTCCCCACAGAGCCTTGCACATAGCAGGAGATCATCATATCAAAGAGTGATTGATTGAAACACTAAGTCCATACAGGAGTGACTGCCTTGTCCCATAAGTTTTTGTCACTCTCAGCCTCAACCCATCAATGTCCTTTTCTATTCCTCCGGCATCTCCCACTCCCACCTCTTCAACACTGAACTATTCATAGTTCCCCCAAATAAGCCATGTGGTTCCATGGCTTTGTGTCTTTTCCATGCTTTTCCATCCATCTGTAGTTCTCTTCTACCTCAACTCCCTTCTTTTCCTGGATAACTTCAGTTCATCCTTAAAGACTATATTCATAAAATACATATGGCTATATACTTCTATTTAAAAATTACTAGATGGAAATAAGCTATGTTAATAATGATTATTTCTGGGCATTGGGATTAAGGTTGATTCTTTTTTTCTCCTATTTTTTTTTTTTTTTTTTTTTTTTTTTGCTTTTACAATGCATGTGAGCAAGAAAGAGGGAAGGTGGGAGGGGTTCTTCTAGCTGGTGCCTGGAAGACCTGAGGCCACATGTAGACATCCAGTGAACACACCGTTGAGCACATACTCTGTTGAGCACATACTCTGCTCAGCAGTCAAGAAGCAACAGAGAACATGAATGTGGTTCCTGCTCTCACAGAGATATGATGAAGGTGTCACCAAAGCAAGGCAGCAGGTTGCTGTCCCACCCATTTTTATCCCTATAACCTCCAAGAGATTAGATTTTTATCTGTTGTGACTTTTGTATTTTTGCTGTGTAGCAGCCACTCTACTAATTTTAAAAAATATGTTTTATTAATTTTTTTACAGAGGAAGGGAGAAGGATAGAGAGTTAGAAACATCGGTGAGAGAGAAACATCGATCAGCTGCCTCCTGCACACCCCCTACTGGGGATGTGCCCACAACCAAGGTACATGCCCTTGACCGGAATCGAACCAGGAACCCTTCAGTCTGCAGGCTGATGCTCTATCCATTGAGCCACACCAGTTAGGGCATAACCACTCAACTATTGTTGCGATACCTATTTTCTAATAAAATTGTCCAGGAGGCTCTCAGGGTTTCTTGTTTTGTTGTGTTCTCTTCTACTCCACTTAAAGACTATATATACAGGGAGTCCCCCAAATTGTATATCCACTTTAACATCTGGTAGCTCAATTTTGAAAATAAAATGTCTTTTATTTATTTTTTTAAATCCTCACCTGAGGATATGTTCCCATGATTTTTAGAGAAAGTGGAAGAGAGAAACACCAATATCAGAGAAACACATTGGTTGCTTCCTGCACGAACCTCAACCAAGGCCTGGGAGGAAGCTCACAACCTGGGCATGTGCCCTTGACCAGAATCAAACCTGGGACCCTTCAGTCCACGGACCAACACTTTATCCACTGCACTAAAGCGACTAGGGTGAAAGGGAAATGTATTTTTAATAAACACTACCTTTCTCATTACTTAATTACATTTTTGGGGGCCACCCTATATATGATAGCATTTTCTCCTTCATGTTTCTGGGAGTAGGTATCTGGTCCCAGCAGTGTGTACTGACCTTTGAACTGGTTTTCTAATATGTGGATCATTTCACCGGATATCTTGCCTGATGGGAAAGGGTGGGGAGTAAGTTATAGGATATGATTTGCTTTGGAAATTAAACCACTCAAATGGTCCTGGCCCACATCATCCTAGGGAGAGTTCTGGTAGATAATAACATAATTATCTAGAAAAATTTTTTTAAAAATGGGATTGGAATGGAGTTAATACTTACAGGAACTTTAGAAGAGGCAGCTCTTTTAAGGCATCAGGGTCTATGTAAGTTAAGCTTCTCATATTCCGAATCTCTCTATAAAAGTTACAAGGAGCACATTTACCATAACACATCCATTCCTGTTCTTATCAAAGATAAAACAACATAAGTCAGCTTTAACATGAGAGGAATACACATTGACATGGCACCCCGCGAACAGTTCCTGCCGGGAGTCACGGCCAATAAAGGACTGCTGGTTCCTCACAGGGACACAGCAGCTGTTCAACCTCCTCACAGCATTTGCTTAGTTTCGGTTCCTTTGAATTTATGGGCAACTTTTCTCCTAATTGCAATCTCAGAGCTTTTCAAACTCTCAGATGTAAATAGGAAAGAAAAGCCTCCTCAAGTGGCTTGTGGAAGACAGAAATCTTTATTGTTCACTGTAGCAAGTGTTCTGGCCCTGGGTGGGAGGTTGAGTGGATTAGATGGATGGCAGCGAGGCAATGAGGGTGACAGGAGCTTTCTGTTAATCGCTATTTCAGAAGCAGCAGATGTCGAGTCTGTCAACAGTTCCCTTGGTTTTATTCTCCTATGTCAGTAATTTAAGATTCTTCAGCACATGTGGTGTGATATCATGTATTTCAGTAGCTTACGTGGTTTGGTTTATATCACAGTATTAGTGAAATCAGTAGTTGTTAGAAATGGCTATCATTTAAATGTAGTCAACATACTAGATTGGTTAAGAGTTTCAAGGCGCTCCCTGTGCTTGTATGAAGAGGATGGAGGGTCCCGCACACAGCCTTTCCTTAGGCTTGATGCCTAAAGGAACCTGCATTTAGTTGTTGTTGGTGACAATTCAAAGACTTAGAATCTGGCCTCTGGAATTTGGTTTTTAATGGTTTTAGTGAAGGACGGTTTCTGTAAGATTCAAGCATTGCCTGTATATACCAGTAATTAGATGATTTCTGGTAAATTTGTGGAGTCGTGCAACCATCGTCACAATCCAGTTTTAGGGCCTATCATTGATGAAAGTAACCATTGGCGCATGTGCAGTGAATTCCCACTCTCTCTGGCATGCCGAGGATCCACTATTGTGCTTTCTATCTCTATACATGTGCCTTATCTGGGCATTTCATATCAACGGGATGATAAATATGTAGTCTTCCATGTCTGGCTTCTTTCCTTTAGCATAATGCCTGTGAGGTTCATCCACTAGTAGCATGTGTCAGAAGTTGGCTACTATCTATTGCTGAATAATAAGGTGGACCTGGGATTGAACCTCGGCTCTGCCACTGCTGGCTGCATAACCGGGCAGGTTCCTTGACCTTTTTGAGCCACAGTTTCCTCATATGTAAATAGGGAGAATAACAGCACCTGTTCCATAGGATTCTTGTTAGAACCAAATAATGCCCATAGGAATTTGAATTGTGACCTAGCACACAGTGAGGGCTCTATAAATGATTATTTTATTACTAGAGGCCTGGTGTATAAATTTGTGCACCAGTGGGGTCCCTTTGCCTGGCTTGCGGGATCAAGCTGAAACCAGCTCTCCAACACCCCCCACCCCTGCCCCCGCTCCCGAGGGATCCCAGATTGCAAGAGGGCACAGGCCAGGTCGAAGAACCTCACTGGTGCATGATTGAGGTTGGGGCAGGACACAGGTTGGCCAGCTAAGGAGAGACTGTAGAAAGGCTTCAGGGCATGTCCAGACTCTTGCTCAGTCCCAAATGGCCAGACCTTAGCAGCAAGCTAACCTACCGGTTAGAGCATTGCCCCCCTGGTGGTCAGTGCATGTCATAGCGAGCAGTTGAGTGGCCTTAACATATCATTAACATATTATGTTTTGATTGGTTGAACAGTTGACCAGTCACAGGGCAACTGAACACTTAGCATATTAAGCTTTTATTATATAGGATATTTTAAAATAAAACCATTTTAAAGGAAAAAAACTGGGACTAGAATTAGGTAAATTAATTTTAAAGTAATATTTTATAAATAATAGGTTTTTATCACATAATAAATCACCCATGTATTTTAACATCAAGTATTAATCTCAAGATTAATGCATATTGAGGAAACTTTAATTTTTAAAATGTTTATTTCAATGCACTATACAGATAATGTATATACATGGTAAAAAGTTTTAAACATCATTCCATGAGTCAAAGAAAACCAGCTGTAGTTTTCTCTCTCTCTCTCTCTCTCTCTCTCTCTCTCTCTCTCTCTCTCTCTCTCTCTCTCTCTCTCTCTCTTCCTCTCTAGTAATCCTATATATTGTAGTATATAATATATCCAATATAATAAAAGCCCATATTTTATATAATAAAAACCTAAAATGTTAAGTGTCCAGTTATTTGGTCACCCGTTCAACCAATCAAAGCATAATATGCTAATGATATGCTAAGGCCACTTAACCACTGACCACCAGGGGGTAGACACTCCAACTGGTAGGTTAGCTTGATGCTGGAGTCTGGCCGATTGGACTGAGTGAGATGAGCCAGACACACCCTGGAGCCCTCCTGTGGTCTCTCACCAGTTGGCCAACTTCCTGCATCCCACCCCAGCCCTAATTGTGCCACAGTGGGGTCCCTCAGCATGGCCTGTGCCTTCTTGCAATCCGGGACTCCTTGGGGTATGTTGGAGAGCTGGTTTCAGCCCGATCCTGCAGGCCAGGCCAAGGGACCCCACTAGTACATGAATTTGTGCCCTGGGCCTCTAATATATATATATTTCACTAATTAGACCGATGTCCTTCTGGATGTTCTTCTGGATTTCCTTCAGGATGAAGTCAGGGCTGTAAGGGAAGCCCAGGTCCTGGTTGACAGCTGTTGGATGGAGGGAAGCCCAGGTCCTGGGTGCCAGAGGGAAGCCGCTGCCAGCAGCTGGGGGAAGGAAGGCCTATTCTTGCATGAATTTCATGCATTGGTCCTCTAGTATATCTATGTTAAAGTAGCATTATGTCAAAAACGTTTCCTCTGGATCAAATAGTCTATAAAAATAGAAATTCAATGATTGCTTAGTGTTTCATATTAAATCATTCTCCTAGTTCAGCATTTGAGTATTTTCCAAATTTTTGCTATTATAGATTAACTTTGAGACAAATGGCTTTTTATACAAACATTTCCTCCTCTGTTTATTTTATTAGGGGAAATTTATAGATATGAAGTTACTGGGTCAAAAAGTATAACATCTGACAAGTTCTTGGAATATATCCTTAACTGCTTAAGTCCTGATTTTTAAACTAGCTCTCATTTTTAGTAATAGCCTATAAATTCACAGAATAAGTGATCTCCTATATTACCAAAGCTTTTCAATGAAAGCAATCTTAGTATTCTACTTTGATAATTATCAATGAAGTCTTTTACCACTAACACTCCATTATGTAACTGGGGGAAAATAATCTATAACCAAAAGGTGATATTTATGATTTTGGTGCATCTTCTAATTTATTGGGGAATTACAAATAATAGATTGTTAATTCAAATAGTTTGTAAATGTTTACATTTTTTAAGCAGATTGAGGAAAATGTAAGTTTATCAGCAGATTTTCTACTAGAAATAAGACTTTATAAAAGTGATTTTTTCAAATGTCCTGGAAGATACATGTAGCTACTCTTATCTGTCTAATAATAGAGGAATATGCAAATTGCCTGGGATGCCATCACAATAACAGTAACAACCAGTAGGCTGTCTGAGATGACAAGACTGGCAGGGGGATTAATGAGGAATGACCAAACGACTGAACAGCAGGATGCATGGGGCAACCAGGCTGTCAGGAGTGGTTAGTGAGGGACAACCAAATGAATGAACAGCAGGTCGTGTGGGGTGACCAGGCCAGCAGGGGGTTAGGTGAGGGACAACCAAACAACTAAACAGCGTGTGGCAACCAGACTGGCAGGGGGGCAGTTGAGGGTGGCCAGGCCAGTGAGGGGGCGGGGGTGGAGTAGTTGGGGGCGATCAGGCTGGCAGGCAGAGGTGGTTAGGAATGATCTGGCTGGAAGGGGGGAGGCAGTTAGGCATGTAGGTGAGCAGTTAGGAGCCAGCAGTCCTGGATTGTGAGAGAGATGCCTGGGATTGGGCCTAAACTGGCAGTTGGACCCCGAGTCCCAGATTGGAAAGGGTGCAGGCTGGGCTGAGGGGGACCTCCCCACCCCCCACCTAGGCACAAATTTTGTGCACAGGCCTCTAGTGATTAAATGCTTGGGACTAAGACTTGTGTTTTAAGACCTTCAATAAACCACTTTATTCAATTTAGTGAATTAGCAGAAGTAAATCTTACCATACTATCTGCCAAAACCACACATTTGACCTACCCAGCTGTAGAATTTTTATTTAATTGTGATTTTTTTAAAAAAAAGATCACATAAAAGTAAAAACATTCCTCTGAAGGCAGTGATTTCCTTAATTATGTACGCTTTTCATTAAAGAGATATTATGGGCTTGCATTACTTTTGGAGGCAGACACTTTGGTTTCAAATTCTGATTGTTATTTCTTAGCTGAGTAACGTGGGCAAGAGCTCTGTCAGCTGTGCATTACCATCTTCATTTTACACGGGGAAACTGAGGCTTAGTGAGATTAAATGGGATAGTATATGTGAAGCACTTTCAGCAGAGTGCTTGCTTATAGAAGGCATTCAGTAGTTGGTAGGTATTAGGAGCAAAACAGAAACCATCTATATGCTATTGACTTTATTTTAGAAGAAATGAAATAGAAAATGGAAGTGACCAGTGTTTCATTTTACAGGGATAAATCTTTATTTATTAATTTAATTTAATTTATTTTTATTGCCTAAAGTTTTACATATGTATTCTTTTTCCCCAATTGACCCCCTCTCCCCAACCATTCCCCCAGTGCCCCAGTGTCTGTAATCATTGGTTATACTAATATGCATGAATTCAAGTATAGGTATAATTCTTTATCTGAAACACACTTTTGGGTCCAAATAGTATCCACACTGAAGTTAAAAACTCAGGAAAACTTGGTTTGTTTCCACTTTAGGACCCTCAATAACTTACAAAGAGACCTGCCAGTCTTGCAGTTTTCTCTTGCCAATCCTCAGTGTCTTTTACTAATTGTTAACTGATATATAATGGCCTGGCTATCAAATTATCCCAAACAAAGTGGCTAAAATAACAATCATTTCATTATAGCTCAGTTTTGTGGATTAGTATTTCATGCAGTGCTTCTGTTTCATGTGCAATCCACTGGGATTACTGGTTGATATTCAGCTGGTGTCTGGGTTCTTTTGGTGGGTTCAATTCCTGGGGATTGCTAGAAGGGTAGGCTCAGATGGGCCCTTCTACATCATAAGGTAACCTAAGGATCTCACCATATGGTCTTCCCATCAGCCATACTTGGACTGTCAGAGCCATCTGGAATGTCCAAATTAGCAACTGAGAGGGGAAATAACTTGGGTCTATGCTCCATTTTTCATTGTACTTACATGTGCGTCATTTTACTCAAATTGTAGAAGGAATGTGATTCCAGCCGCTGCAGAGCTGTATCTATGGATAAGTAGCTGAACATCACAAAAATATAAGACGAAGTAAAAAGTTAGTAGGGTTGTGAACTCCAAGCATACTGTTTTTTTTTTTTTAATTTTATTTTTATTTATTTATTTATTTATTTATTTATTTTATTAAATTATCTGTGTACATATTTTAACATTGCCCCCCCTCCCATACATACCCTCTTTCCCCAGAGTTTCGTGTCCATTGGTTGTACTTATATGCATGTATACAAGTCCTTCAGTTGATCTCTTATCTCCCCCAGATCTCCCTACCCTCCCCGCGGTAATTTGACAGTCTGCCAAGCATACTGTTTTGATGTAATGAATTTTTCAGGGGCCTCCCAGATCATAAAACATATGTAATCCTAATGGTTTTGTCTTAATCCTATATAAGAAAAGAGTAATAAGCAAATTAACCATCACTCTGCTATACCCACAAGCCTCGCCCACCAGCCAACCAGGAGCAAGTATGCATATTAACCCCAATCAAGATGGCTGCGGCCACAGAGTGAGCAGGAAGGAGTTTTGGCTTCCCCTGGCGATGGAGGAAGGCAAGCTTTCCATATACCCTGGTGAGCCAGGCCTCCATTCAAGGCTACAAAGTTTCAATTATAGAAGATAAATAAATCCCAGATACCAGGGCCTCTGCTTGGGTCACTAGGGGGTGTGGCTGGCCTGCAAACTACCACAGGCCCCTCGCCCAGGTCTCCCAATATCTAAGGGAACCCCCACCCTGATCCAGGACACCCTTCAGGGCAAACCAACTGGTCCCCACCCATGTACCAGGCCTCTATCCTATATAATAAAAAGAGTAATATGAAGATTTACCATCACTCCAACACACAAGATGGCTGCCCCCATGTGGTGAAAGATCCTGCCCCCATGTGGACACAAGATGGCCACCAGAAGATGGCCAGCAAGGGAGGGTAGTTGGGAGGGACTAAGCCTGCAAAGGAGGGCAGTTGTGAGGAATCAGGCCTACAAGGGAGGGCAGTTGGGGGCAATCAAGTCTGTAGGGGAGGGCAGTTAAGGGTGACCAGGCTGGCAGAGGAGGGAAGTTGGGGATGATTGGGCCTGCAGGGAAGGGAAGTTGGGGAGGACCCATGTCTGTAGGGGAGGGCAGTTAGGGGTGACCAGTTCTGCAGGAGAGGGCAGTTAGGGGCAAACAGGCTGGCAGGGGATCAGTTAGGCATCAATCAGGCTGGCAGGGAGTGGTTAGGGGTAATCAGGCTGGCAGGCGGAAGTGTTTAGGGGCAATCAAGAAGGCAGGCAGGCGAGCAGTTGGGAGCCAGCAGTCCTGGATTGGGCAGTTGGACATCCCTCGAGGCATCCCAGATTGGAGAGAGTGCAGGCTGGGCTGAGGGAAAACCATCTCCTCCCCCCCCTGCATAAATATCGTGCACCGGGCCTCTAGTTATGTTATAATTAGTTACTACTATTTTTAGATCTGGTGACACCTGAAACTTCCCCAATACATGAAGTCCTATTGATCTTTCAGGTTTCATTTAACTGATTCTTCCTTTAGAAGCTTTCCCTAAATTTCCTGATTGGGTCAAATTTTCTGTAATATATTCTTATATTACAATGAATTTCCCGGCCCCCCACCCCCCCCAATTATCACAGAGCAGCTTGGCATATTCGATTTGTGCTCTCTCATTACACTGAAAATTCTCTGAAATGGAGAACCATGTTGGTTTCTGGGAGCCATTGGATCTTGAGTCCCTTTAACAGCATGTGGCATGTAGTAGACTCCCAACAAATATGTATTAAGTGAATGAATGAATGAATGAATGAATGAATAGGTGAGTTACTCAAAAGAACAGAACATGAAAGACATGGATTAAAAATGAATAAGAGGCACTTTTAATGGTGTATCTGAGCATGGAATTAGAGAGGTAGTTTCAAAGAAGATGAAGCAAAATCCACAATGCTCAAGTGGAAAATTCCAGAGGGTGGTGACTACATATTATTTCAATACTTCTATTCTTAATTTTGATAAAGTTGAAAATTCAAGGTTTGTTTTGAACTTTGGGAGCAAAAGATAACTCAAATAAGTTTTTAAGAACTAAAATGGGAGAAAGAGAAATGTCTAATTATAAGAGCACATAAGGAATGACATTTCAAATAATCTCAAATTCTATTTTGTAATGAGAATGACTAATGCAGCTAAATTCAGTGACTGATTTTTATTGAGAGGCATTTCTATGACATTTGGGAAAATTAACTATTGACAGATGATGTTCACATGTAGCCCTAATGAAGATTCTCAACTCTGGCCATACAATTGAACTATCTGGAAGGTCTTTAAAACACAGAAATGTCTAAAACTTGGTCCAGGACAATTAAGTCAGTGTTTGTGAGGGATGGGACAAATACTTTTATTTTATAAAGCTTTTCAAATGACTCAAAGTACAGGCATGGTTGAGAACCACTGGTGTATACTGAATCTGTCAGTAAAATATTTTCATTAACACAATGTTATTAAGACCTCTGACGGTTCCATTTGAGTTTTTACCATGGTTATTGTGAATATTCAAAAGGTCCTGTGGTTTTTGTTTTGAATGGCCTATTCTATAAACAGTTATCCTTTTGATTTATCAGGTCTGACAAACTATTGCCACTTGTGGATAATGTTACAGAAATTATTTTGATCCAAATATTATCTCTAAAACATAGAGAAAGCAATTGGAGATGTTGAAAATAACATTGTGTAGAGATTGTGGGGATTTATAATGGATGAAGTTGAGCAATCTGAAAGACAAGATTAATTTTGAATGCTGCAAACTTGTTTATCCAACTTTGCATCATATCCATTTGATCCAAATTTTCTTTTGACTTTGCTAGTTCAGAAGTGTAAAGCTTTCTCAAGGTTTTATTGGGGGAACCAACATGTAGGAACCATTTATCAGGGGGATGAAAAGAGTGATTCTCTACTTGCTAATCCCATTTTTATAACCAAGAAAAATCAGATTTTACTTCTTCTTCAAATTTTTTTTCTTACCATTTAAGTCTTATGTAACCACTAGGGTGAACATAACATTTATCATGCAATATAGGATATTTTTGTGAGTCAAAACAGGTTGCTAATAGTATGTTAGAATAATAGGTGAGAATTTATACTGTCCCAGGAAAACCTACCTAGGATCTCTTTGGTGATCTCTCTGTTGCCCCTAGATATATCACCTCTTTGATGATTATTCATGTATGTGTGTGCGTGCTTTCAATCAACAAATGGCTGAACAGACATGTTCCCTAGCTTTCAGAAACTCACAGCAATGGGAGGTATAGGCAGATAAATGGGGTTAACATAGAGGGTGATAAATGCTTTGATGGGGTTTGGGCTCATGTAACCCAGACTGAAGAATCTAGCACAGTTTCCCTGGAGGAATCTTCAGCAAGACCTTCAAATATCTCAGTCAATCTGTTTTCTTTAATTTCTCATCACATTCATTTAAAACCTTTTCAAATTTCTGACTCTGCCAGCTCTACCCTAGATATTAGTACATACTCTTTATTTTTTAAATTTTATTTTATGGTTGAGAGTATGCTCTTTTAATTTGTAGAAAGGAAAGAAACCTTGAGATAAGGATTTCTTGAAGTCCCTCCAAATAAGCCTGTTAATATACCTGCACCTGCCCTATCTCTTACTATTACTTTCTCATTGCATTGTAAAAAGTCACCATCTTCTGTAAAAGGTCAGTCCCGCTCCTTGGTGCTCTTAAAAATTCTCCTTTCTTCACTTTATTTTTTTTTTTAGCCTCTTCCTCTCTACTGACTCCTTTCCCTGTTCCAAGTTACAAATACCTGATTGACTCCCAAGTCTAGTGTCCACCCAGATTTTCCCCCTGAGGACCCCAACATACTCACTTCTAGTCCTCCTTACTCTGTTTTAATTTTTTTTTTTAATTTTTACCATATCCATAAGTCCCTTCTAAATTAGTATCTACACTAATAAAAAAGAAACATGCAAATTAACCATCACTTGGCTACACCCACCAGCCAATCAGGAGCAAAAATGAAAATTAACCCACCAAAGATGGTGGTGGCCATTAAGCTGCAGTGAGCAGGAGGCTTGGGTTCCCCCTGGCGATGGAGAAGCCAAACTTCCCACCAGCCCTGGCCAGCCCTGGCCTCTGCTCAAGGCTACAAAGTTTCAATTATAGAAGATAAATAAATCCCAGACACCTGCTTCCAGCCAGCCCTGGCATACGCTCAAGGCAATGCTGGAAAGGGAAGGGAAGGGAAGGGAAGGGAAGGGAAGGGAAGGGAAGGGAAGGGAAGGGAAGGGAAGGGAAGGGAAGGGAAGGGAAGGGAAGGGAAGGGAAGAATAAAATCCTCTTAACCAGACTGGCTACATCCCCATGGCCCGATCCCTGTAAACCAGCAGTAAGATATCCTTCGAGGGGTCCCAAATTGGAGAGGGTGCAAGCCAGGCTGAGGGACACCTCCACCCCTCTCTTCCCCCCTGCACGAATTTTGTGCACTGGGCCTCTAGTATATATCTAATTTGTTACATTTTTGATTCATTGTCTATTTTCTTCATTCAAATGCAAGCTCCACAGGGGCATGGATCTTTGTCTCTTTGTTTCCTGGTATATGCCTATCTCTTAGAACAACAATTGGCACATAATATGGATTGAATAAATATTTCTTGAGCGAGTGAAAAAATTATGTCCTAATGTCTACTTTGATGTGCCAAAGGCACCTTAAATGTCATATGCCCCAAATTGAATTCCTAACTTACCCCCTGCATCTCCACAGCAAATGTATGGAAAACTTCTCTATCTTGGCAAATATGCTCATCAACCACACAGTCAGAAAATTGAATGAAATTATTCTCCATATCCCTCCCCCTCCAAATCAATCAACTTCCTAGTTTATTATGTATTCCTATTTATTTCTCATATCTGGTCACTTTTTCTTTATTTCCACATAACCAACATCATTCAGTTCTCCATCTCCTCTTCCCCAGGACCCTGATTCAACCTCCTCACTGGCTTCCTGTCTTCAGTCTTGCTCCACTTCTATTCCTGTCCACAGCACAGTCAAGGGAAGGTTTCTAGAATACCTGATCTGTCACTTTCCTGCTTGGAAGCATTCAGTGGCTTGGCCCTTAGGGAAGATTTCAAACTTCTTCCAATGATTCAGAGGCCCTGTACTTGCTTACCTCCTCCCAGTCTTGTTTTTCTCTACTGTTTCTTCCCAGCCTGGAGAAATTTATTTCAATTTCACCGACAGCCAAGGACTTTCTCTTCTGCTTAGAACTTTTTCTTCTACTTATTTTTTGTTTGATTATTTAGCCAGATAATGCAGATTGCAAATTAGGTGCTATTTCCTCCAGGAATCCTTCCCTGACTACCCCCCATCATCTAGGTAGCACACCTCTCATATAAGTCTACAGAGATAAGTAAATACACAGAATAGGAAATTGTATAAAGGAGATGAGGGAAAAGGAAGAGCTGTAGGGGAATTTGAAGTTTTTAGCTTATAAGCCAATAAATGACAGTGCTGTTAAAAGGAGGAGTAGGGAAGGGGCAGTTTAGGGGAAGATGAAGAGGTTTTTTTGGGATATAATGAGTGTGTACTGCTTGTGGGTCATCAAGGTGATGATATTTGGAAGGAAGGTTGTAATGTAGGCTAGTACTTTTAATAACAGGTCAGGACTGGATATACTCAGGAATTAGTTATATTAGGTAATAGTGAAATCAGACATCTTAGCTACATTTATGGCAAAATGTAAGCATTCATACTAGTAGTAAAAAGTGGATCAAGAATCGGTAATTAAGATAGATCAATTATAGACAGAGAAATCTGTTTATGAGAGTCCCAGCTAAGATTTTGCCACATCCCAAGTTATATTAAAATACATTAAGAATTTTTAAATGTTCAAGACCAAATGAATTAAAATTTATTTTAGCTTTAAAAAATCATTTAGGAATTAGGGAATGGAGATGTAGCAAAACAAAATAAAGATTTTGTATATAAAAAATTCATATACATTACTTACATAGATTATTTTTCTGGATAGAACACATTTGGAACATAGCATGTGACAATTACAAGCTTTTTGATATTAAAAAAAATTACTTACATCCTGGAAATATTGGGCAGATTTGAAAATGCATGACTGGGAATGGTTTTCAGATGAGTCTCTGTAAACTTCCTATAAGAATAAGTTACACAATTAAAATTTTAATCATTGGACTTTTCTAATTACTCACCTTAATTATACAGAACACATTACTAGAGGCATGATGGTTCTTACAATATGTATTTCATCATACATAATAAAAAGATTAATACACAATGAAAAACAAAATACATTTTTTTCTCAACAAAACAAGAAATAAGAGTGAGAATCAAATGCAGAATATAAATCTTTAAACTTCACCTCAGAATTACCAGTAAACTGATATACCGTGTCTAGCATCATATTCAGTACGTAACTAAAGGGCAACATCATACATTCAACTTGCAACATCAAACAAGTTTATCAGGATTACAGAATTCATATCATGGACTTATCAATAGAAATGTCTTGGAATGCCATTGGAATATTAAGAGTAATTTAACATATTTGAGTCCTGGCCTGGTGGCTCAGTTGGTTGGAATGTCATCCCATACACCAAATGGTTTTGAGTTCGATTCCCAGTCAGGGCACATGTTTGATCCCCTGTTGGGACACGTAAGGAAAGCAACCAATTGATGTTTCTCTCTCACATCACAGTTTCTCACTCTCTTTCTCCCCCTCCCTTTTTTTCTCTCTAAAATAAATATAAACCATATCCTTAGGTGAATATTTTTTAAAAAAGGATTTGCTATATCTTAAGGATTAAAAAATTTTGCCTGAACAAAGGTCTTTTCCACTAGTACCTTATTAAATCATCTACTTGCTGCGGGTTGGAAACAGCTGACTGACAAGGGCTAATTCTCCTCAGAATCATGGTATCATTATTGCATATGAAATTGAGAGGTCGTGGCTTTTCTTCCAGTTTGCTTTGTTGGATACTTTTCAGAAGTCGGAGACTTTTTCTTATAGACACTAAAAGATCTTTATGCCTTCCACTATGTCTCTCCAACTAGGAGTCCAATTTTTACTTTCTTTGCTATAGCAACTGCTTGAATAGAATCCTGAATGAAAAAAAGGTGTACCTACTGTACTAGCTCACATTGCAAAAAGATAACGACTCACTGTGCACACCACCTTCCCCATGGATCCGTTCTGCTATTTAAAAATTGGCAATCATACATCATTCATTTATTACCTTATTTGAAGATTTAGGTGAAAATTATGTATTTTCCTCTCTAGGCTTCAGGGTTATTTCTCAACAATCAATTCCCTTGATCTATGCATGCTTGGAACTACTAATTTCTGCAGTGATTGAAATATACAGGGGTGGGCAAAAATAGGCTTAGAGTTGTTCATTTGGAAAATAATACAATAACTAATAAATAATATAAGAATAAACTGTCTTGCATACTCACAACTGTAAGCTTACTTTTGTCCATGCCTGTGTTTAGCACTTTCAGTTTCCATTCCTGCTTGCCAGGGCACTGAATGTTACCCCTCCATCCTAACAATAAGGAAAAAGCTAATCAGACTGAAAAAAAAAATCAACAACTCTTCTTGTACCCATGAGGGAAGGCATAGGGCAAACTGGGGAGACTACCAGATACAGGGGTCCAGCTTCCCAGAGCAGAAACTTGAGGGAAACCATGAGTATGCAGTGTATGAAAACCTGAACTTAGTGATTGAAAAATCACTGGAGGCCCAGTGTGGACAATTCTGAGAGCTAAAAACTCCAGAGGGACCCAGTCAGAGAGGCACTTCCACAATTTTGTGAGATTTTCCTCCATTATCTTATCCAGGTTCTAATAGTAAATATCAGAGGACACCCCTCTCCCCCGCAACACCTGTGCTTCTAGCAAAGAGAGAGGAAGAGGAACTGTTTGGAAACACACCAGAGCACTCTGTGCTTAGCAAGGCCTGGCTCAGGGGAACTAGGTAACCACAGCCTAACTGCCCTGGGGAAGGGAAATGCCGAACTCCAGCCCAATGTAGCCTTCCTGTCCTACAAAGGGGAGAGGGAAAATATAAGAAATGCTGTGAAGTTCACAGTCTAGGGACAGGCTCTATAAATGTCTAAGACTAGTCACAGGGCAATAGAACCCTTCCCACCCCCCTGATACCTTATTACCACATTACTAGCAGCCCATTTGTAGCAATTCCTTTTACTTGGTATATCATGTCTGCTTATTGAGCATTATATTCATGACTTTCCAAATCAAAGCCTCATCAGGGCCAAATCCTATTGAATAAAAGAGTAATATGCAAATTTACCATTGCTCCAACACACAAGATGGTTGCCTCTATATGGTCAAAGATGGCTGCCCTCATGTGGACACAAGATGGCTGCCACAAGGTGGCCTGCAGGGAAGGGCAGTTGTGGGCAATCAGGCCTGCAGGGGAGGACAGTTGGGGTGACCAGGCTGGCAAGGGGTGTGTGTGACTGGGCTGGCAGGGGAGGGCAGTTGGGAAGGACTAGGCCTGCAGGGAGGGCAGTTGGGGGGACTCAGGCTTGCAGAGGAGGGCAGACAAAAGTGTAGATTATTAGCTCTTTGCAAATCTTGGTGTTTCAGCAAGAAGCCCAATGTTGCCTTAATATGATTTCAGAAATCCAGGTCCCATAAATCCCTTTCCCTTCATCACAAGTTTCACTCACGCTTACATTCTCTTAATTGGTTTGATTAAAAGCCAGTTGGTCCAGATCCAAGATTCTGAAGTTACAAAGATATGAGAATAACAAGTCGTTTGACTACAATCTCCAAGAAAAATTGGGCCATGCAAAGGAAAACAAAAGATAAGATATCTTGTTGGGTATCATCCAAGGAGATTGAGTTTCTTAAACTCAAATATAGTGTCTTATAGAGCTTGTCCTAGGGCATGGGTCTTAGGGCATACTCACTGTGAGATCACACACTGCTTATAGGTAATGTGGACCTAATTTATACCTGACATTGACTAAATATTTTGAGGTTTATTCTGTGTTCAAAAGTAAATAACATTTAATTTAAAATAAAATTCGAGTAATGATTTCTAAGATGGACAGGTACATGCAAAAAAAAAAAGAGAAAGAAACAAGAAACTGTACCATCAACTTACACCACACACAAGAATAAACTTAAAATGGATAAATGACTTAAATATAAGTCATTAAGCCATAAAAATCCTAGAAAAAAAAACATAGGCAGTAAAATTTCAGACATCTCTTATAGCAATATTTTTGCTGATATATCTCCTATGACAAGGGAAACAAAGGAAAAAATAAATGAGACTACATAAAAATAAAAAGCTTTTTTACAGTAAAAGGAGCCATCAACAAAATGAAAAGGGAACCAACTACCTGGGAAAACATATTCATTAATTGTACATCTGATAAGGGGTTAATTTCCAAAATATTTAAGGAACATACACAACTCAACACCAAGAAGACAAATAATCCAATTAAAAAATAGGCAAAGGACCTGAATACCGTAGGCACTTCTTCAAAGGGGATATACAGATGGCTAATAGACATATGAAAAAAAAAAATGCTCAATGTCACTAATCATCAAAGAGATACAAATTAAAGCTACGATGAGATATGACCTCCCACCTTCCAGAATGGCTACCATCAATACATCAACAAACAACAAGTGCTGGTGAGGATGTGGAGAAAAGGGAGCCCTTCTGCACTGTTGGTGGGAATGCAGACTGGTATAGCCACTGTGGAAAACAGAATGGAGTTGCCTCAAAAAATTAAAAATGGAATTGCCTTTTGATCCACCAATCCCACTTCTCAGAATATATCTTAAGAATCCTCAAACACCAATCATAAAGAATATGTATTTTACCCCTATGTTCATAGCAGTGTTATTTTTTTTCCATAGCAGTGTTATTTACAACTAGAGGCTTGGTGCACAAAATTCATGCACAGGATGGTCTCTAGGCCTGGCCTATGATTAGGACCACCTTCTCCAGCTGCCTGCAGCTGGCCTTGTGTCCTGCCACCAAACATCCCTGGTTCCCCATTTGCCATCGAGTGATCAGAGCCTGAGGGCAGAGGGAAGGGACCGAGAGGTCGGCTATTCCTGTACACTCATCAGCCCTGCCCCTGCCACGGGTCACCCTCTGTATGTGGGGCAACCGGTGGGGTGGGGGCCTCGGCCTGGTGTCACCTGCATCCCCTGCCATCCACCCCTGGTTTCCCATTTGTCATCGGGTGATCGGAGCCTGCCAGCCAGGGAAAGAGATCAAAAGGTGGTCAGTGTGCCTCATAGTGACTGGTCGAGCGGTCATTCTGGTCATTCTGCCATTAGGATAGATTTCCATATCCTTTTATTGTAGGATAGCCAAGATCTGGAAACAGCCCAAATGTCCATTAGTAGATGAGTGGATTAAAAAGTTGTGGTACATTTACACTATGAAATACTATGTAGCTGTAAAAAGAAGAATATCTTAACCTTTGAGACAGCCCGGAGGGATCTGGAGATTATTATACCAAGCAAAATAAGCCAGCCAGAGAAAGAAAAATACTGTGTGATCTCACTTATACGTGAAATCTAATGAACAAAATAAACTGATGAACAAAATGGGACCAGAGGGGTACATGGACAGACTGACAGCTCTAAGAGGGGAAGGAGGTGTGTGTGAGGCTGGATGAAGTAAGGTTTAGAGATCAGTCAAAGAACATACAATATATGCAAAGCCCATCAACCCAGAAAACAGTATGGTGAAGGACAGAGGGAGGTGGGTAGGGACTGGGTGGAAGTGGGCAAAGGGGGAAGGAATGGGGGACATCTGGAATAATGTTAATAAAAATCCCCAAAACATCCAAAGCTGGTTTGGCTCAGTGGATAGAGTGTCGGCCTGTGGATTCAAGGGTCCCTGGTTCGATTCCGGTCAAGGGCATGTACTTTGGCTGAGGTCACATCACCAGTGAGGAGTGTGCAGGGGGCAGCTGATCAATGCTTCTCTCACATCAATGTTTCTAACTCTCTCCATTCCTTTCTGTAAAAAATCAATAAAACATATTTTAAAAAATCCCAAAAACAAAACCAAAAAAGGAAATGTTACCACTATTTACTACTAATGATTCAGACATCACATATAACTCATCAGGAAAAAACAGTTTACAGCTACAGTGTCATATTCTAAGTGGAGTATATACATTTTACAGTTAAACAACTTGGCTTTGGGATATGGGAATTATAAGGTAGAGTAAATATTTAAGCTGATGATGCAATTGAATTTATTTTTTCTATGACGTATTGAACTAAGCATGATCAGTGAAATGAGGACTTAAGAATCAAATGTCTCCTTTGAGCCTTGCCGAGGCAAGATTTGTATTTCTCAGATTTCTACACTGGGAAGACATGATCAGAAATAGAAATGCCTGTGAAATGCTACCGATTGACTTGCATGGTTTGCAGAACAGGATCCAGTTTTAAGTGCTGTCTTTTGTGTTCCTGCAGTAGCAGTGGGGGAGGTAACTCTGGTCCATGCAAGGAAAAGGAGCAGATTGCTCCCTGTTCCAAAAAGAACAGTTTGTGCGATTACATTTTACACAGTCACCTTGCATGATAGATAGTAGGCTCATTTCACTGAACTTTTATCAACGTGTAAATCCAATCAGCATTCCAACACCCTGTTTCTTAGAAGGCTTCTGAAATCACAGCTCCACTGTGTGTGTGTGTGTGTGTGTGTGTGTGTGTGTGTGTGTGTGTGTGTTGTCATTAATATGCCTGCTTCCCACTGCAGCCCCTGCTTGATTAAGAATGTGAAGTATGAGGGTGGAGCATGACTGAATTTTTCTGAGTTGAGAACCCCAGTTGGCCTTCCCTGGCATGGCTGAGTTAAGCGTGTGTGGTCCCATTTGTGTGTCAGCTTCGGTCCTTTGGCAATCAGACTGAGAGTATTTTGTGATTCTGTGTCAAGTTTTTCTGTTTAATATTGTCACCTGCATTTCAAGGACTTCCTTTTGCATTACATAGCTGTGTCTAGCAATCAACTCGATTTCATTGAGATGTGCCAAGTCTATAACACTGAACTACCAACATGACCATAGAAATACAGATACTTGTACATCGTAAAGTTGTGTATTATAATAAACTGGACAATATTGATATGATTTAAATGTGACATCTACCATTTGCCCCATGGTTTTACTTTATTGAGGATAAATTATTACTGATACATTTGTTTTACTATTGTGCAATTTGTTGCTGTTAATCCTCACTAGGAGATTTTTTCATTAATATTTTTAAAAAGGAGTAAAAGGGAGGACTGAAGGGAGGGAGAGAAATATCATTGTGAGAGAGGCACATCAATTGGTTGCCTGCCCACGAATGTGCCCTTGACTACTGAAATCACATCCTATTTCCAAGCGTCTTCATTAAAACAAAGCAGAGAATAAACCACTTACCCATCTCCTCCCAACAATCTTCTCAAAACACACACACACACACACACACACACACACACACACACACACACACACACAAATAAACAGAGCCCTGGGTAGTGTTGCTCAATGGTTGGAGCATCGGCCTGCACACTGAAGAGTCTCAATCTAAGGAACATAAGTTCACTTGGGTTGCAAGTTCAATCTTTGGCATCGGTTAGGGTGCACATAGAGGCAACCAATAGATTGTCTCTCTCACATCCATTATATCTCTGTCTCTCTTACCCCCCCCCCCCTCCCACTATCTCTAAAAATCAATGGGAAAAATATCCTTGGGTGAGGATTAACAACAACTAAAGACAATAAAAATGCAATCACATGATTTTTCATTTTAAATGAATTAATCTAAGTGGATGGGAAATCCAAATGCATCAGAAGGCCATATTCAGATAGCTCCATTCAAAATGATTAGGAGTACTTTTTTAGTAAAGTAGGTTTTTTTTTTTTGTGTGTGTGTGTGTGTGTGTGTGTGTGTGTGTGTGTGTGTTTGAGTAATGCCATTTGGAATAGAAAAGGTGTTCACAAAATGAAAAATCATTGGTAAAAATAACTGACATTTATCTTCCAGCATGATTTTAAATAGTGTTTCTATATGTCTTAACTTATTGAGAAAAGCATCAATACCAAAATATTTCATTCCGTATCATAAAGTAGAATGTACTTTTTTTTTAGAGTTTTTTTTCTTTTTTTTTTCTTTTTAAAATATATTTTATTGATTTTTTTTGCCCCCCTCCCTCCCTCCCATACATACCCTCCCTCCCCAGAGTTTTATGTCCATTGGTTGTACTTATATGCATGTATACAAGTCCTTCGGTTGATCTATTATCTCCCCCAGATCTCCCTCCCCTCCCCACTGTACTTTTAATAAAATTCAGAGTAAAAATTTCAGATGTTTAAAGAAAATGTAATTTGACATGATAATTTGGAGCTCTATCCTTGAGGTGAATAAGGAGTTTTACTAAAAGCAATGTAAGATTTTTTCTGGAAATTAAGCGAAGGATTAGTTTTTTGTGGTCTTTTAGTCAATGGACAAGGGGAAAAAGAAAAGAACTGGTCTATTCTTTTTAGAATCGGAGAGCAGGCAATTGAAAGTTCCCTGTGAAAGTAAATTTTTTCCCCCTCAAGGGCTCTTGAAGGTTCACACTGAAATGTCAATGACCTTGTTTGTTCAGAGCTTGTAACAGCCATTTTCAACTGCCCTCTGTGCTTCGATAAGTATGTTCCAGTCATTGTAGGTTCTGTGTCTAAAACCTATCAACATCATTCCTTAAGCATCAAGGGGATGCTTTTTATGACAAAACAGGCTTTATGCAGGACTCTCACTGAACCCATGTGATTCTGAGAACATCCATTCCATGTTGTAGTCCAAAGTATAGCATTCAGAAATTACACAATATAAAATTATTTGGAGGTAGTTCTGGTAAATTATTTTTATAGTCTCAGGGCTTAGAAATTCCAGACAATCTTAACAAACTATGCAACAGACAACTGGCAAGATGGTATATATATTTTTTAAAAGCAAATTTATTATTTTACCCTCTTTTCTTAGGAAAGATCCCAAATGTTCTGATCAACTCTAGTCCATCAGGTAGCCCAACGTAACAACAGTTTACCAAAAGGGCCATAATTATTTCTGCTACTCAGTACAGAAAATTTTTATTTGAGTGAAGTATGAATAAAGAGACTTTGATTGATTTGGGATTTTCCTCATTAACACACATTAAAAACTAAAATTAAGTTAAATATATTTTAATTTATTTTTTCTCCATGTAATCATAAATGAGAACTACTATTTATGGAATTCCTCTATGTCATAGGCTCTGCAATAATACTGTTTCATGTATTTTATCATTTAATATTTACACTGATGTGTGAGGTGTTCCACAATGATTTTTTTCTTATCACTGAGGAAATTGAAAATTAGAGAGTTTAAGTAATTTATCCAAGGATCTTGCTCAAGAACTCTAAAACACACACACCCACACACACACACACACACACACACACACACTCATATCTTAACCACTTTGTCATATTGCTTCTCTGCATATCCTTTATGTTTAACTAGGGGCCCAGTGCACAAATTCATGCACCTTGCAAGGAACTGTGGGCTGCGAGGCGGTGGTGAGCACAGGGGTGGGTCTCAGTCCATTGTCTGCAACCCTCCAGCACCTCCCGTCATGCCCCCAGTCTCCTGCCTGCTGGCAGCCCTGCTCCTGCTGCTGCTCCCACACACTGACGTTGACAGCCCTGCTCGCACCCACTGAAGGCGCAGAGTGATTGGGGCTGGTGGCAGCAGCGGCTGCTGCCCCAATCACCCCACAGGAGCAGGGGGAGGTGGAAAAGCCCTCAAGAGTGAGCAGGGCTGGCAGCTGGCACTTGCACCTGCTGATGGAACCGAGTTATTGGGACTGGCACTGGGCACTGGCAGCGGGTGCAAGCAGGGCTAGTGCTGACAGTTGGTGCAAGCAGTGGCTCTAGCACTTGTAGCAGGTGTGAGCAGGGCTGTCTCTGGCAGCAGGTGTGAGAGGCGGTTGCTGGCCCTGATCGCCTCTCAGGAGCAGGGGAGGTGGAGAAGCCCTGAGGGATGACTGGGGTCAGCAGCCACAGCTCACACCCGCTGATGGTGCCAAGAAATTGGGGCTGGTGCTAGGTGCTGGCAGCAGTGCGAGCAGGGCCAGCATTGGCAGCAGTGCAAGCACCAGGCAGGGCCGTGGCATGCAGGAGCAAAGAATTTTCAGTGACCACCAAAGGCTCACTCCAATGACAGTGACCAGTGCCCCACCTTGGTCTGGTGCCTCTGCTCACCTGCTCCTCCATCCCACTGTGGTGACACCCACCATGGTTTGCATATGCCCCCTGGTAGTCAGTGCACATCATAGCGATTGGTTGTTCGGTTGTTTTGCTGTTTATTAAAATTAGCCTTTTATTATATATCAATAGGATACTGTCCCGGTCCTTTTATGACTATTCTATGTCAGAAGGCTATACATAGGCTGCAGAGGATATGGGTGTAGAACTGTAAACACCAGAAACACAATTCTCTTTTTTTCCTCCTTTTCCCAGACCTCCATTCTTCCTCTCTATTTTTCTTCTATGCCACATGGTCTGCCCTCCTATGGTTTAAAATATAATTGAGAGCCAGCATATATAATCCTCAAAAGTAAAACATAGAAAAGTTTGATAACATTGAGTAAAATAAGATGTAGAGGAAGAAGGTACTAATATATTTTTCATTTTATTATTATTTTTTAAATTTATTTTTTTTCCTGCTTCCCCTTTGCAACCGCTTCAGTGCCTGCAGCCCACGGGCAGAGGCCGGGCAATGGTTCGAGGCTGCAGTTTGCTCTGGCACGGGGCATATGAGAGACCCAGGGGGACGGGCCTGCCATCCATGGGAACCCGTGCCCCTTATATACTTTTTAATTCCCAAAACATTACAATTGCTAATCCCTTCTTAAAAATAGGAAAATAAAATTTTAAATAGAAGAAGTGAATGGAATGACTGGGGAAATCACAACGTGCCTTTGTTACAGTTTTTAATTCCTTTAAGTTTATTGAATGATTCAGATTTTCTATTTCTTTTTATGTCGGGTTGGATAAGTTGTATTTTTTTCCTAGAAACTTGTCCAATTTATCTAAATTTTCAAATTTAGAAACATAAAGTTGTTAATAATAAATATCATTAAATGATTTTATAATAATTAAAAAAAATATCTGTAGGCTCTGTAGTGAGATATCCCTTTTCATTTCTGGTTCATTTTCTTGATGTAGAGGACATTGTATATGAAAAAAAGAGTTACAGTTATTTGAGGACTAGAATTATCTTCCTCCAAGGAGGACTTACATTTGCCTTTAGTAGGTGGTTAGGGCACCAGCAATCTTAGATCACCTTCATCTAATTATAGGGATTGAGCCTGGCTGGCATGGCTCAGTGATTGAGCATCAACCTTTGAACCAGGAGTTCACAGTTAAGATTCCCCATATATGCCAGAGGTTTCAGGCTCCACCCCAGTAGGGGGTGTGCAGGAGACAGCCGATTCATGATTCTCTTTCAACATTGATGTTTCTATCTCTCTCATTTCCTCTCTGAAATCAATAAAAACATTTTTTTAATTATAGGGACTGTGATAATTTAAACTTTACCAGAGCTCCAAGTTTTTCCAGTTACTCCTTACTCTTAGGTGGAGCCCTTTGGGATCCCATCTAGATGTGTGGACATTTACCAGAGATCATGCCTGAACAGAACTTAGATTTTTTGCTAAACTTTATATATATTGTGTATATATATATACATACATATATACATATATATATATAATTTTATTTACTTTTAACCATCTAGCCCTATGGGGCTGCCAAAACCACTGCCCAAATTCTACCTTAATCATCTCTTCCAGAACCATCAACCACTCCTAGGATTCACCTCTCTGATTTCCTTTTCCTTCTTTGTTTCACAATTCTTTACTATCTTGATGGCTATAAAATTTAAATCATTTTTTATCTTGCTTTGTTAATTTGCCTCAGCAGAGATAGTTTATGTTATATGCATGTTTTGTGTATTTAAAATATATATATATATATATATATATATATATATATATATATATATATATATATATATATTCCTGTAAGCAAAGGTCCTTCACACTTTGTTTTTAATATTTGAAACATTGATCTGTGATTTCTTGGAGTCATTCTGCATGTGTTCATATCCCCCCCCCCCCCCCCCCCCCATAATATAAACGTTCTTTAGGGCTATGACAAGTGCTGAGTTGGCTGGGATCACCCAATTGGTCCACCAACTAGTATTAGAATCAACAGTAACAATAGGAGCTCCCGAAGGCTTGGTTATCGTTAGTCTGTCCTCTGGACGAAGCTCCTGAATGCTATATGTTTTGGACAGTTCTCTGGCATCTGTAGAGTGCCAGATGTCCTCAGAGTTTTTAGTAGCATCACCTCCAGCTTGTTTCCTCAGGACTCCTTCCCCACCAGGGTGCTCCTCCAAAAATGTGGTCAAATCATGCACCTTGTTGTGGTGCAGGATCGATCAGGTGCTCCTGCTATGGCTGTGCTTCTGGCGCTCTTTCAGGGTGTATGCCTGATGGTCTTGGGAACGAGGCAAGCCTCTGGCCCCGCAGACACCAGCGAACTGGGCAGAGCTAATAGCTGCAATTTTAAAGCCCACTTTCAGAGGAATGAACGCAATGTACCAGCTACTGAGTAGCATCACTTTTTGAGAAGTGAGGTTGTAAACTTAGAGCACAATAAAAGATCGACATGGAAAGTGCAGCCATACATTTACTGATATTGTTATCTAGAAAATGTCTTCTTGAGCATGAATCATTTTCACATAATTAAAAGTGTGCTAAGTGGTTTCTGCAAGTTACAAAAAACACAGTAAACATACAAAATTGATTCAAAACATTTTAAAATTGCACATTTCTTCCCAGAGCGGTAGAGCAATTATTGTCATTCAACAATGTTTTTGGAGGTTGCTTTTTAAAAATGTATCTTTATTGTTGAAAGTATTGCAGATGTCCCTGATTTTCCCCATTGACCTACCCATCCCCAGGCCTTCACCACGCTGTTGCCTGTGTCCATGGATTATGCATATATGTATACAAGTTCTTTGGTGAATCTCTCCCTACCCACCTCTGCCTTCCCGCTGAGATTTGACAGTCAGTTCCATGCTTCTATGTCTCTGGATCTATTTTGTTAATCTGTTTATTTTGTTCATTACATTCTATGTTTTGGCCTACTTTTATGTTTGTTAAAAACTGACATACCGTAAGCAACAAAAGGTGTAGAAAAAAATATCCAAATCACTTATCACTCTGAAGCAGTAATTTTGAGAGACATTAGCACTTAGGACCTCCTTTTCATCTGCCCTGGCCATCTCTTCCTCCTCTTGCCCTACCTGGGCCTCTATCTGTAACAGTTTTGCTTTTCTTATATTTCACCTTCAGTTTAACATCCATGAGTAATGTATCCAGAGCTAAGCTTCCAGGCAGAATAAAATATCGAGTGTTATTTCCTCGAATACTCAGTGTTTTCAGCTGTATGGGTTCTTGGTTCTTCAGGGTCATTGTCAGCTTTAAGATGAGGGTTAGAGGTCATTGTCACAGCTTTAAGTTGGGGATTCATGCTGCATCTATCTACATCTTTGATTATTTCATGGATTTGGGTTCTATAATTCGACGGTTACAGTTTCATGACTTAATTTCATAAAAAAAACCTCACAAGCTTTGCCCTAGCCCATTTGGCTCAGTGGATAGAGCATTGCCTGCAGATTGAAGGGTCCCAGGTTCAATTCTGGTCAAAGTCACATATCCAGGTTGTGGGCTCAATCCCCAGTAGGGAGCATGCAGGAGGCAGCCGATCAATGAAATCAATAAAAAAATATTTTTAAAAAATCTCACAAGCATCACCATCATGCTTTCAATCCAAGATTAAGTAAAACCTGACAATTGAGGGCTGAGGAACTGGAGTAGGAATGGCCAAAAACCTGGAGGTTTTGACAATCTAAAAATCAGGCTACCTGATGGCTCACTTCCTTAAGAGGCAAAAAAACATGATTGATTTCATTTCCTCTCTTCCTCTCCTCCCTTTCTAGCCTTCTGTCCCTTACTCCTTTCCTTTTTCCTTTCCCTTACATTACTAGATTTGGGGAAAACAAATATGCAAAAACAAAACAAAAAACACAAAACAAACCCAAACCAGAATCCTTTTGCTCTTAGTAAAGAAGACAAACAGACACAGGTGAGAAAACCCAGAAGCTCTTCAGTGCTGTAAAAGTTAGTGATGCTGACAGCATATTTCAAATCACGGGAGACAGGTGAATGGTGTTGAAGGTTGATCAGAGATGAATCAGCAAAGAGACACATTCTGTGTGACTTTGTGTTATGTTTCTTAACATTTTAAAAATAGATGTTTGTTTGTTTATTTATTTATTTATTTATTTATTTATTTATTTATTTTTAGAGAGAGAGTAAGAGAAAGGGATAGAGGGATAAAAAGATCAATGAGAGAGAAACATCATTGATTGGCTGTCTCCTGCATGCCCCCACTGGGGACTGAACTGGCAACCTGGCATGTGCCCTGACTGGGAATTGAACCTGAACCTGAGACCTCTTAGTTCATGGGTTGACACTCAACCACTGAGCCATGGCAGCAAGACTGTTCCTTAATATTTTTGAGCATCACTCTGAGATTAAGGATGTTGGGTTGATGCAAATTATGATCATCATGGCAAAGCAGTGTAAATTCTTGATTACCCCACTCATTACATAAACTCACTCTGAGGTTACTTGTACTTGTTTAGAAGGTTCTGCTGTAGCCTATGTATTTTTGTGATATCAACTTCAGATTGTTTTTGGAATCTTCTTTTGGAAGGTCTACTTTTCTTGTTCTTTTATATCACTGGACCTAAATTTCACGAGTGTACTTGTTTGATTAGGTCTTTGCAAATAAAAGCAGGTTGATCACTTGCATTTACCTGGTTTGGCTTTATGATCTCTAGATAGGCTTAGGACTATCTTTAACTGTCACCTTTATCTTCATGCAATGGTAATAGGTTTTTGAAAATTACTCTCAATTTTTAGATGTTTCTATTTCTCTCTCTAATTTGATTGCTGGAATACCTGGACTTGTAGTTGACTTTGCTGTGTTAAATAAGAAGGGATTGTGCAAAATAGTGTAACATAAGGAAATTTGAATGAAATATAATAATTTTTTTTTTAGGAACTGATCATTTTTGTAGTTTCTAGTCCACTGCTCCTGACTTTACATCATAATCCCAGTTCACAAACACATATGGGTGCACCCACTACCACCACCACCAGCACCACCAGCACCACCACCACCAATATACATCCCTTCCCTCCCCTGCTTTGTCTTACTAAAGTGAAGTATGGTAGCTATGGTTGTTGTCTGCCTATCATGTCTTTCTTTGATCCTTGCTTTCTAGAAATAGAAACCTTCTTTCTCATAAATTTATTCCATGTGATTCAAGTAGAGTTGAACCCCTTCACGCAGCTGACCACCCATCCACCATTCTCTGTATAGTCCTCTCAGAATTGTTAGCAATGGGGGCAGGAAGCTTAAAACTACTCGTGCCCATCTTGGCAAGGCTGTCTGTCAATAAAGCCTATGCCCAGGTAGGAGAGGGTGGGCTAAAATGAGAGTGGTAATCCCTTGGTGATATAGTCTTTTTCAGCTTAAATTTATTTTTTATTTTTTATTTTTTTTTTTACTATTTTTGTAAGTACTCAACTATTCATAAAATCATCCTGGCATATAAACTTCCTTTTTTTAAAAACATATTTTTTATTGATTTCAGAGAGAAAGGGAGAGAGAGAAATAGAAACATCAATGATGAGAGAGAATCATTGACTGGCTACCTCCTG